ACCGAGAGATGTACATCTTAGGCTCGATGAGCACGAGCGTCGCGCTCCGCGCACGCTATCAGTGACGAGTTACCTCGATGAGGATGTGGAGGTGGTCGACTACGAGTCTGACACTCCTTTTCCCGCATGGGGTGACGAGGAAGGCGAGCTGCGCCAGCGGCATGATACGAGCCCTGCTCGCGCCTTGCGGACCCCATCTCCAGTCCCTGACTTCTCTTCACCTGAGGAAAGTGGTATAATCACCAATGACCTCGACGGGGCACAGTGGCGGCAGCTGGAAGCTGCCCGCAAGGCGGCTTTGCTGCGCGCCCAATCACGACCGGTCATTGACCCTCGTGTGGTATGTGGCTTCCGCCCAGCGGATCCCGCTGTGGAAGCGAAGGACGCGGTAACTCGATTGTTACGCGTCCACATCATCGGGCCCCCGGCCATTACGGAAGATGAGCTTGCCGAACTGAAAGCTCTTCGAGCTCGTTTCTCGGTTCACAAGAATATCCGTTGGAAGCTTATCGCACTCGTCTAAGTGCTCAACGAGGTGGCTCTCGTGTACCCGCAATGCGGACAATAGCTGTAGTGCTCGCCCCTGGTGTAAGCGCTACATATGTCGAAGCGCTCTTTGAGTGATGGGTGCAATGGCACCGGAGCTTTCCTCACTATATAACTTACAGTTGAGCCACAAGGAAGTGGATGCGCGTGTGGAGCGACACCTCCGATTTGAGTTTGCCAACCTCAAGGCACGCCGTCAACTTCTTTCGGATTGTTGCCCCGCGACGTATGGGTTAACAGCCCCTAATGCTCCCGCGAGCTCTGTGTCTGTGATCGCAAGAGTTCAGGGCCACTGCTTGAGCTCAGCTCATGGCCCTTCTAGTTCCCTGGCTATTGCCGGGAAGCGCGGTGCGTCTGATGACGCGGGGCGTCTTGATCTTTTCGATCAAAAGCGTCCACGGCGACTGGGCAATCTTGCCGAAGTGGCGTCTCAAAAGGCAAATGCGTCGCTGCAGGCAACGGTGGGGCTCTTGGCTCCATTGGAGATGGAGGTTGTTGTACTCCGTGCTCAGAACCAGTTGCTGGTTCAGTTTCTGGGTGGCCGAGGG